CACAGAAACAAGAATGGAGTCGCAGCCTTAAATCCCTAAATGACGAAAGAGGTTAAGTAAAAAACAAATCGTCTCAAAATGAAACCGTAACTATGAGTAAGGATTCAGCAGAACCAAAGCGTCACTAATGGCTCACAGGTGACTCACGTTAACAACATGAATCGTGACCTATGTGCAGAGTATTTGCAGCTCTTTCCACCCACTCACAGCTCCTGGTGAACACGACTGTTCTCACACCTCCTCAGACTCAGCCCTTACATAATCTGCAGAGTGAATGCACTGCTCCACTTTCATAAACCACGTGTGGACAGAAAGTGGAGGGTCTGCTGATGGAGGAAGAGAGGAGGCGGACACTGAGGTCTTTGTTTTCAACTCAATAGCACACATGCCTCCAAACAACATATTCCAACCAATGTGCCACAATGGTATAACAATGTTGTGGTATTTTTATTATTGCTTTTAGGATGTCTATCACCATCTGGCAAAGGGACTATCGATGAAAACTAGCCTTTTGTCTAATTCGAGTACTTTTACATGTTTTTAATATGTTGATTAATGTACACTGTCCCTTGTTTTAAATAAATCAATTCAATTCAACAACATATTCCAACCCAAGGTGTTGTTTCCAGCCAACAGAAAAAACCCACATACATCACATTTCAGAAGCTAGAAGGAGAGTTGTTGACCTTTTGCTTTACAAATGGCAAGTGATGAAATACACAATGGGTATATACATAGTTGACATATCACTATAATAAGCTCTGCAGTTAAAGGGTTAAGTCAATGTTGGCAAAACCTTTCCCACAAACAAAGCAACGATATCCAGCGACGCACTTCAAATGCCAATTATTTACAAACCAAAAAAACTGCTGTTTACGACCTGATAAATACTTCCTTGTCACAAAGACCTAAGCAGTGTTTCAGCCTCAGACCGAAAGCCTTTAAAGAGGCACATAAGGGGTGCAATTGAAGCTGAGACATCCTGACTTGTATCTCTATGATGGCTCATAACCACTGGAGAATACATTTCCCATAATGCAACTCATTCAAAGGAGCCCTATTCTGCTTTTCCATATACATTTCCATGTCATCTCTTCACTGCCAAACAGGGATCAGGGATAAAAGCAGTGTAATCTCCTCCATGCTGACCATTTGACAGCTCCCATCGATAATCCTGGTTTCTGGTCTGTTCACCGCAGACACGGAGATAATGAGATTCGAGCGGACCGTCAGGATTAACATTTAGAAATCACTCACCTCTCTGAGCGTCATGTGTCACCTGCAGCTTCCTCTCAGCTGTCATCACACCTGGAGCATCGTGTCTGAATATCTCTGTACATAACAGGCGTCTCTCTTTCTGTTTTAATGCTCAGTACGACGGGTTCTCCCAGAGCCAGCTCCACTGTCTCGCTGTCCGCCGGCGCCCTGAGGGAGCCGCTGAGGAATATCAATGATGTGTGTTCCCATGGAGGAGAAGCTATGGGTTGGAGCTCCAAATGTTGGCACACAAAACAGCTGCTGGGGAAATCACTTCAGCTGTTCTGCCTCTGAAGTGCGATGTCAGGAAATCTGGGACGTTTTACACCAAAGGTTTCATATCAGAAACATAAATAACATCCAGGCTCTCAGTTTAAAGTGGACCTATCATGCTATATTTGAAACATATATTGTAGGGCCATACCTATATAAAACATGTATTTTTTTTCAAAACAGATCACCCATTGTAGCCACGCCTCATACTACTCAAACCCCTCTTTTGAAGCCCTAGAGAAACCCGGATCTTGGGTCCTTAGCTTGAAAAAAAAGAAAGAAGAGGAGGCGGAGCTAATGCCTGATCAGAATTCTACCGGAGATAAAGTTAAATGCTGCTGTGATAAAACGCCATCCTGTTCTAAACCACGTCAAGGATTATTTCTGAAACAGTACGGAGCTCAAATGCTTTTTCTCTTGCGGGTTTACAGGTTAGCTCTGAGTGTTAGCGAGGCTTGCTAATGTAAACACGTCAGGCATTGTTTCTGATAGCAACTTTCTGTGGGTCCGCTAACATCACAGCAGATGGACACGTCACAGCGGATGGACACGTCACAGCGGATGGACACGTCACAGGGGATGGACACGTCACAGCGGATGGACACGTCACAGCGGATGGACACGTCACAGCGGATGGACACGTCACAGCGGATGGACACGTCACAGCGGATGGACACGTCACAGCGGATGGACACGTCACAGCGGATGGACACGTCACCGCGGATGGACACGTCACCGCGGATGGACACGTCACAGCGGATGGACACGTCACAGCGGATGGACACGTCACAGCGGATGGACACGTCACAGCGGATGGACACGTCACAGCGGATGGACACGTCACAGCGGATGGACACGTCACAGCGGATGGACACGTCACAGCGGATGGACCCGATGGACACGTCACAGCGGATGGACACGTCACAGCGGATGGACACGTCACAGCGGATGGACACGTCACCGCGGATGGACACGTCACAGCGGAGGAAAAGAGAGAGGGTTTTATTTTCTGACGCTGCGTGAGTTCCCCGACGCACCGGAGACACATTGATATATAAAAGACATCACAAAGTGCATTTTGCATGATAGGTCCCCTTTAAGTTAAACAGTGCGGGAAAGCAGTCATCAGAACAGCACATTGAGTTCATGAGTAAGAGAGAGTGCTGACATAATCATGATTACGAGTCAGAAACAAACAAGTCCTGATTTCTGGCTCATAAAGAAACCAAATGGCGCTGATCAAAGTCTGCAATAACACTTTGGCGGCTGTAGAAATAACCCATGATGCTCTCTGTTGTCCTTACATGCCACCTTTAAATCACAGCGATGACACAAAGAGGACGTCGATGCCAATTATTTCTGGCGTCAGACACCAAGAATAAAGCATCACTGTCAGAGCGGCAGCAGAGGGCTGTTTACTCCAATTTGCATTTTGCATGATCTGGTTTGACCTCAGAAACCTGCAGGTAAACAAACGCACCACCTGTCCACCTCTCTACGAGCACAAGGAGAGAAGATAGTGCACCTGTTGGTTCACGTATGACCTTTATCAAGCTGTCCACATTAAACTCTCTAAACTATATAATCAACTCCTGCACTGAGCAACAGTTAGTCTGTGCACCTGTCGGGTCCCATAACAACATCTGGCCTTCAGCCTGCAGCTCTCTGCTCAGTCTGCGCACTAATTAGCTCACGTTGGTGCCACTGTTTGACCCTGAACGCCTCGTGGGAATCTCTGACAAGCAGATACTCCGAGCTGTCAGTAAACACAACACGGCAACACATCCGATGTGTTTTATTGAACAGTTTAAAATCTCTATTAACGTCAAACTGCTCAGGTCAGTGCATGGGAGTGTGGGGATATTTCTACTCAGGAAAGGTGTTCAGAATATGTCAGATTCAGTCGCATTTCTGGGTGAAATATGAGGATCATTTGAGGGAAATGTTAAGGGAACTACTTCACTATTTGTTCCGCTTCATTCTAATGCGCTCCAAGAGGGTCAATCCTGACATGGATGTTGGTGATGTTTATGACAGTGAAGCTGCAGCAGCCGGAGAGTAAACTACATCCACAGACAGGTGGGGGGAGGGGAGGAAGCGAGCAGCACCATGCCGGAGATGTTGACCCACTAACAGACCCGAGGAGACGTGTTGTGGCATCTTATTCCCCGGCGGCTACAGAGCGTCCGCCTGACTGAGCTGAGGAACACACGGAGGAAGAGGCCGGTTTCTAACATCCTCTCAATGTTTCATAGTCTGGAAAGCTCAACACACGTTATTTATGAGATGAACTGCTGCCTTTCCCTTTGTCTCTCAATGTCCTACAGTTCCCAGAATGCCTTTCAATTACCTCCAGGGAGCATGAATCTACTTATGAGTTAAAGAACAACTGCGAGAGTCAAGCTGCGTTCATCAAAATGCTCCTGGTGTGCAGCTGCAATGCATTATGGGCTTTTTCTTGTCTCTTGTCTTCTTGTCCTGATTGGTTATCTGTTCAAATGTTAGCTTCAGAAAGAACTGCTGCTTAAAATGGTTTAAAATGCAGTAACTTCAAATAATACGACAAATCGAGACAGTAATATCTCAGTCTGTGCTTTAACTTCTATATTTAAGAGTCTCGGTTTAATCAGTGCATTGGATGCTGGGAAATAGACACACTTATATGAGCTCTGGCACTTCTATAAACACCATCACATGGGAACTATTAACCAGGTAAATATAATAAACAGAAAGGCATAATGAATGCACAGCTGGTTGTGTTTGAGTCCTGATGAACACACAGACACAGGGATATTGCAGAGCAGCCTTTAAAGACAGAAACCTGCATCACCCTCTCACTTCAAATCAAACCCAGAGGAGGACAGCTTGGTGTCTCCAGGAACCACAAATAGTCTCCAAGTTCATAGTGTTTTACATTAGATAGAAAACAGAGGAGAATCCTGTCTGTTACTCGATGAACCTCTCCGTTACACCAGACCTCATTCTACATGTTATTCTGTATCAGCTGATACTCTGAAACTACAGCTGTCAGATACACAGAGGAGTACAAGTACAATATTACCTTTCAGCATAGTAGCTTGAATGAGTATTAAGAAGATGTGCTTTCCATCACTGTTCATCATAAGAATATTTAACCTGAATTGATCTTAAACTCAGTTTGTCTGAGACCCCTTCAGGGACCTCTGGAGAGCTACAGACAGCGGACAAAACACAACTCTCTCAGTTTAACACCATATGTCCATGCATCCATGTTCTCTGTACAGATCCACTGACAGGATGATCGACCCTGATGCGGCCATCCGGGTCAGACACACCGACAATCAGCCCACTGACCTCCATCAAATCATCCTACATGCTGCCTTCAGGAGCCTATCTTCGTAGGAATCTATCAATACTGCATGGTGTTTGACAGCAGGTGTGTGTGTGTGAGTGTTTGAGACGAAAGAGACGCACGGTGCGCGGACACTCACCATCATCCCCGGCACGTTCGTCCGCGTTCACATGACGGCAAGAGAAGCCAGAAACATCCACCATTTTCAACCTTTTTATCCCCGACTTGGGTGTACTCCCGTCGGTGTGGAGATCCGTGTTTCCCCGCAGCCTGCAGGGCGGTGGATCCCCGACCCGGCTAGTCCTCCATGGGGGGAACACAACACACAAACCGGGCCTGGAAACAGAGCAATAACCCGGGTTACATGCCGGGTAAACAGCTGGGCATTAAAGGTGTGTGAGCAGCAGCAGACTCCGGGTGCATCTGATGGAGGAAGATGCTCCCGGTGCGTCAGGGGAGAAACTGAGAAACTGGCCTCCACTGCAAGAAATAACCAGACCTGTCAGAGCCTGACAAAAAATCTAAGTGAGGAAAATCCGCAGCGGCTCCTAGAGGCTTACCTTTTAAATGCACCCCTTGTAACTTGTTTTAGCGCCTACTGTATTGACATTATACATTTTTTTATAATAATACATTGGATTTGTATAGTGCTTTACCTAAATCCAGAAACAGAAACAGTATCCCAATCCAAACATCAATGTCGCTGATAGATATTACATTACATGACATGTCACCTGCTAGACGCTTTTATCCAAAGCGACTAACATACTCAATACTGGGCAATCCCCACAGGAGCGATTTGGGGTGAAGTGTCTCAGGGACACAACGACTGCAGTGGGGTTTGAACCCCCTGAACAGAGCACCAGCGCACTAGGCCACTGCGCCACACGCCTCCCTAGACATAGAGATATCATTAAAAAATGTAGATAAAATAAGAACACATTTGTTCCACTTCACCAACGCTGAGTTCTTTTAAGTCGAGGCTAAAAACAATACTTTTTCAACTGCTTACCCAGAGGTCTTTTAACTTGCTTAATCACAGGTCTGTATTTAATGTTGTTTATAAACTATTCTGTAGGTCTTTGTCTTTTATGCATAGTTTCTATGAATCTGTTATTCCATTGTGTTTATTTATTGTGTTCCTTTCTGTTGTCTTCCTGTTAAGTGTTAATGTTCATGTATAGCACTTTGAATTGACTCTGTGTCTGAAAACCTTACCTTACCTACTTTACCTTACCTACCTCACCTACCTACCGGACCGACCTCACCGGACCGACCCACCGACCGCAACGACCGGACCGGACCGGACCGGACGACCGGACCGGACCGACCGACCGGACCGGACGACCGGACCGCACCGACCGCACCGGACCGACCGACGGACCGACCGGACCGCACCGGACCGACGACCGGACCGGACCGACCGGACGCACGACCGCACCGGACCGACCGGACCGACCGACCGACCGGACGACCGGACCGCACCACCGGACCGACCGACACCACCGGACCGGACCGACCGGACCGGACCGACCGGAACGCACCGGACCGACCTACCGGACCGGACCGACCGGACCGCACGACCGCACCGGACCGACCGGACCGACCGGACCGGACCGGACCGACCGGACCGCACCGACCGGACCGACCGCACCGCACCGCACCGACCGGACCGGACCGCACCGCACCGGACGAACCGCACCGAACCGGACCGACCGCACCGACCGACCGACCGGACCGACCGCACCGACCGGACCGACCGAACCGCACCGGACCGACCCACCGGACCGCACCGCACCGGACCGACCGGACCGACCGCACCGCACCGCACCGCACGCACCGGACCGCACCGCACCGCACCGCACCGCACCGACCGGACCCGCACCGCACCGCACCGCACCGCACGGGACGGACCGACCGCACGGACCGGACCGACGCACCGCACCGCACCGCACCGGACCGACCGCACCGCACCGGACCGACCGCACGCACCGCACCGGACCGACCGCACCGCACCGGACCGACCGCACCGCACCGGACCGACCGCACCGCACCGCACCGGACGCACAGCACCGGACGACCGCACCGGACCGCACCGCACCGCACCGCACCGCACCGCACCGGACCGGACCGACCGCACCGCACGCACCGACCGCACCGCACCGCACGCACCGGACCGACCGGACGACCGCACCGCACGCAGCGCACCGCACCGCACCGCACGCACCGCACCGACCGCACCGGACCGACCGCACCGACCGCACCGCACCGGACCGACCGCACCGCACCGGACCGACGCACCGCACCGGACGACCGCACCGCACCGGACCGACCGCACCGGACCGACCGCACCGCACCGGACCGACCGCACCGACCGCACCGGACCGACCGCACCGCACCGGACCGACCGCACCGAGACCGGACCGACCGCACCGCACCGGACCGACCGCACCGCACCGGACCGACCGCACCGCACCGCACCGGACCGACCGCACCGCACCGCACCGACCGCACCGCACCGGACCGACCGCACCGCACCGGACCGACCGCACCGCACCGCACCGACCGCACCGGACCGACCGCACCGACCGGACCGCACCGCACCGCACCGGACCGACCGCACCGCACCGGACCGACCGCACCGCACCGCACCGGACCGACCGCACCGCACCGCACCGACCGGACCGCACCGACCGCACCGCACCGGACCGACCGGACCGCACCGCACCGGACCGACCGCACCGCACCGCACCGGACCGACCGCACCGCACCGGACCGACCGCACCGCACCGCACCGCACCGGACCGACCGCACCGGACCGACCGCACCGCACCGGACGACCGACCGCACCGCACCGCACCGACCGCACCGCACCGCACCGGACCGCACAGCACCGCACCGGACCGACCGCACCGACCGCACCGCACCGGACCGGACGACCGCACCGCACCGCACCGCACCGGACGACGCACCGCACCGACCCACCTCACCGTACCGACCTTACCGAGCCTCACCTCACCTCACTCACCTCACCTCATCCTCACCTCACCTCACCTTACCTACCTCACCTTACCTACCTCACCTCACCTTACCTACCTCACCTCACCTTACCTACCTCACCTCACCTCACCTTACCTACCTCACCTCACCTCACCTTACCTACCTCACCTCACCTCACCTCACCTCACCTACCTCACCTCACCTCACCTACCTCACCTCACCTTACCTAGCTGTGTGGCACAAATACAGTTTGAATGCGTACATTAACAGGTTTATGATATCACTGCCCCGTCTAAAACACGATCTGACTTTAATTAGCCTACATTTGTCTCGAGTGTTTCGTCAACTTAATGTGTTGCTTAAAATAATACTTCTGCATACAGTATGTGACACTGTGAGTGTTGCACGGCCAGATACGGCTCAGCTGACTCAGATAAGGAGATATATGATACATTATGAAGTGATATGCCGCGGACTGTACTTAACGTGACTCTGATCCGGTTACTTATGTTGTGGCAGATATTTAAGTAAGCTTTCTTAACGCTAATGTTATAATAGTCAGATTGCTCTGAAGATGGAGCTGATATTCTATTCATGTTCACGTTCACACAGTCGGTGACTTTTGCCGGCCGTCTTTCCTGCGACGGCAGCTTTTCTGTATTTCCTTTCTCCTGTAATATGACTTGATCGCTTTAAACTCCGCACACTGAGCTCTGATTGGTCAGCAGGCAGTGCTTTCACTGAGTTGAGCTCTTAGCCTGCAACCTAACCTGGTCCCGACCAGGTTAGCCGCTCAGCATCAGTTACCATGGAGATCTAGCCTGCTAAAAAGAGAACCCGCTTCGTAGGACCGGAAAGCCGGAGTTGTCCCTGAATTTAGCCGGCTAAGCGAAAATCCTGCTTCGTAGTATACCCCCCAGGAGTCGGGTAAATGAGAGACTGAGGAGCCCCCGAAAAACAGATCCCGAAATAGCTCGTCCTGGTTTCCGCAGCAGATAGGCCTACAGTATGGTGTCTGTTATGTCAGTTATTTTAAATAAAACGTTGAAAACTGAACTTGAAAATGGTTTCCTCTTTTTATTTTATTTATCATTTTCGGGACGGGGAGACGTGGGTGATTAAAAATTAATTTGCAGAAATGTAAAGTGATCTAACTAAGTTCTATTCATATTCTTGACGGGAAGAGCAGTGTAAATGGGTGGCCATATGCATTTGAAAAGCAATATAAATCACAGTTATTATACAATAGGCTATAAAAGCACCATCGATAACCATTACCTTTATCCAATTCAAACTTTGGACGGGAAAAAAGGAAGGTGTACATGGTTGGGCCAGAGCCATATAATAGAAGAGTTACGACAACGGAAGTCCAAAAACGGTTATCGTCACGTGGTTCATGTAGAAGAGGATCGTTCCCCGGAAGTTCATGGCGGGCAATGTGAATGCACTGATAACAGGAGATAGAACTACGATTTTTGGTAATTATTAGTGAATAAAGGTTTTGATTTGCAATATTTATACAACAAATCGATATGTGTATGTATTTACACCAATATGTTTTTAAAAATAAAATAGAATTTGCTAATATTAGGATTAGTGTGAACAACTAGTTTACATGTTAGGCTAACAGTGCCTTGGTTAAAGAGCCTGTTGCTGTTTATTTATAGCTTTGAATTCTTTAAAACCAATATTATCTTCTTAAACTTGAATGGTAGTCAGGAGCATCACTTTCTAATGTTTATTGATATATTTAGAGGGAGGGAATCTAAAGTAATGCTTTAAAATTCAGATTAGATTAATGTCTACCATTTTCTTAAATTCATGGTAGTTTCAGTAACCATGGTAATTGAGGACACAAATTATCTAAATGACTAATGTCATCTTTATGGCTTTCAGAAAGGACAGGAGACCGACAGGTGACTATCAAAGGACTAGCAGCAGCAGCAGCAGCATGATGATGATGATGTTAAATGTGTTGTTTTAGGAACATCCATTGCAAATACATGGAATTCAATAAACATTGAATAGCATATCATGCAGTTTGTCTGTGCCTTTTCCTCCGTGTTGTCCTGGTGTGCTGTGCTGCCTCCTAGTCGCCACCATGGTTTGCTGTGCTGCCTCCTAGTCGCCACCATGGTTTGCTGTGCTGCCTCCTAGTCTCCACCATGGTTTGCTGTGCTGCCTCCTAGTCGCCACCATGGTTTGCTGTGCTGCCTCCTAGTCGCCACCATGGTGTGCTGTGCTGCCTCCTAGTCTCCACCATGGTTTGCTGTGCTGCCTCCTAGTCTCCACCATGGTTAGCTGTGCTGCCTCCTAGTCGCCACCATGGTTTGCTGTGCTGCCTCCTAGTCTCCACCATGGTTTGCTGTGCTGCCTCCTGGTCGCCACCATGGTTTGCTGTGCTGCCTCCTAGTCGCCACCATGGTTTGCTGTGCTGCCTCCTAGTCACCACCATGGTTTGCTGTGCTGCCTCCTAGTCTCCACCATGGTTTGCTGTGCTGCC